CCCTGCCTCCGCTGCTGTGCCCCCAGCCTCCTGTTGGCATGCAGATCTGTCCCCAGTGCTGCCACTTCTGCAAGGGGCCTCCATACAAAACAAAGGAGGGGTTTTTTAACAAGCTCTGTTATTCATCTCTCTTGCACTTGTTTTGTGCTCTTCTCTTGCTCTTTCCATAATGATAGATAGTAGATCATCAATAAAGTAATTATTGTTTAGCATTAGTCTGCATTCACGCTGAGTATATTTTCCGGTGCAGCTCAGCAGGAATATGCTACCACATTCCAAATATTCCATGCCAAGTACAGGACAAAAAATATTAATACATAAAATGTCACAGTATTACGGCTAAGGTTGGCAGGGACCTCTGAAGATCATCTAGTCCAACCCCCTGCTCAAAGCAGACTGCTCGGGGCCTTTTTACAGTCGTGTTTTGAATTATCTCCAAGGATGAATGTGAGAGTCACTGGAGCAGAAAGTACCTACTCTGTACCTGAAATGCTGTCAGGAACTATTAAAATAGGCTGCAGCCTGTGGTTTTGCGTACGAGGCAAAATGTAAGCTGGGTTTTTGGTGGTTCTACAATAAAAAAGTTGAGTCTGGAGAGCCACTTGAGGGGGGAAAAACCCTGGGAAGATTAGGTCACCACAGGTCACCACCAGTGGCCAAGTACATTATAACTCAGTAGAGATGAACATAACCCATCTCATGTTTCAGAGCCCAGATTTGGCTCTGACAAGATAAAGCAAGCAGTAGCACCACTTCTTTTTAAAAATAACTGGTAATAGAGCTATTACCACAACTTGCCTAGTGCTATTCATCATCTGCCAGAACCATTCTTTTAGCAAATGTTCTCTCCAGTCATTAGCACATTATCTGTGGGGGACAGTTTCTATAAATGGACGTGATAAAAATGTGGCTTTCAAACGGAGGGGTGTTGTTACAGTTAACAGTGCAATCTCTCACTGTAATCACATCAGCAATGAAAGCAAGAAAAAAAGAAATTATTCGTCTTCAAAACATTTCCCTTTTTTCCTGTTTTTCTCACTGTATGATGTTTCATTGCTAGGAAACACATGCAAACTCCTGCTGAGGATTCTCAATAAAAAAGCCAGTACAAGCAGTTATCACCAGACTGCATAATTTTCTCCTCTGCTTAGAACAGCATCTAGTCTCAGCCACTATGAGCTAAGGGAGCCAAGCTGTATTTTCTCATGGCTTTTTGCCTCTAAGTGCATAGCCACTGCTTCTCCTAGAAATACACATCAGAAGTGCTTATTTTCTCTTCTTTTCCCTACAGATTCAGGGTGATCTTGACAGACAGACCACTTGACTTAAATCAGACAGTCATATTGATAAACCTCTGGGTTTAAAATGGCACTGACATTTCAAGGGTTTTTGTTGAAGGGAGCATGACTCATAAAGCTTGGACTTGAGGGGCTGGCGTATGCTAGCAACATGCAGCTTTTACATCAGCCAGTTCCCAGGATTTGGTAAAGTAGCTATACATCTGTGGAAGCCTTTCTCCATCTTTGGGTGATTGGCAAATTGTGAGCACTCTTTTCACCCTGCTATTTTCACTGTCACCATTGGTGATTATTGGTCATGATCACCAACTGTTTGACACAGTGACAAAAGTGCTTTCTGCTGAAAACTTTCAGTTCACCCTTGCAGGTTCTGTTACAGAGGACCTCTTCTCCTAGCCTGTAATTATGAATTACATTAAGCTTTTAATATTTAGGATACACTGAAAAGCTTATGCCTTTATTCCTAAAAATGGAACAATAGCTGCTTGTATTTTTAGGGATTATCATGAGTTTTTGTTACAGTTGTTTTTTACTAAAATCAAAAATGCCAAATCTCCAGATGCCATTTTAAGTTTCACAAATGGAGCAAGCACACAACAAGCAAGTTATTCCATGAAGACTGGAACCAGAGATGCCCGATTGCTGCGCTTGCTTCCCTCTGATCCTCCTCTCACCAAGGATCTTCTCAACCCAGCAACTCCCCTGTACCTTACATGCAGACCCTTTCCCCAAATCTCCTGCAGAGACATCACTGTTGCAACACTGCAAAAGCAGCAGGTGCGCAGCTTGCTGCTCAGGGAACACAAACTGCCACAGCATCAGGATCAGGGGCATTTTAAAGTGACAGAAAGTAACTTCTGTTTTAAAATTTTATTTCCTTCTAGTAACTTAAAGATATGTATCAGCACCATTCAGTTAACGTTTCATAATATGTAAGAGCTTAATTTAAACAGGAGAAACACTTATAAAAGGAATTATCCATGCCCTCTGTTTTTCCCCACTTGGAGTTTTCTGCTTCCCTGTGTTTTCCCTTGGCTTTACCTTCAAGTCCCATCTGCTCTATCCACTGTTTCAAGCCTAGCTATGCTGACATTTCCAGCTACACCCTCAGTCACTTTTGCCTGAATATCACCTCCTATGTGGAAAAAGAACATCCTTAAACATTTCTATAGGGCATATTTCAGGGCTGCAGTTATAAGTCATCCTTTTCTCCTAAAGTTATACACTGGGCCACCTAAGTCTTTCCTGACATTTAGAACAGTATTTGCTCTTGCCTCCCACACAATCCTCCATGACCCCAATGAGAAACAGCTCCTGAAGTTCTAGGACAGCACACTGGCCTCTTTTTGTTTTGTATTCTTTATGCCTTTCAACATCCATTTTTTTTCCATTACCTGCTTCTTTAATGTTTCTCTCCCTCACATATTTTCCATGTGACAAATGCATTCTCTACTTGATCATTACTGGTATGCATTTACTACTATTTACCATTACTGCATGGGTGCAATCCAAATTTTTGTGGGGCAGGCCTAGTTTTGGATTAGAAGTCAGAGCTACCAAAAGATTTACAGCTGTTCTGATTTAGGACTTCAGTACAGGCTTTTCCAGGGCTGAGAATTTTCAAAGTACTCCTATGCAGTAGCAGGTTTAGAGAGGCAGATTTATAACATTCAAATATATAAAATCTAGTATCTCTGTCCTACCACATCCTGATGTCAAATGATTCATTGGTCTGGGACCTTTCTCTACCTCAGCCTGGTCATCTTCCCAGAAATTACCAGCCCAGGATACATTTCCTCTGGTAGGCTGTGTTTCAAAGCAGGTGGATTAATTCAAGCTGGATCATTAGCCATGAGCCACTCAGCCACATTATAAACTTTTACAGCATGGAATACTTATTTCCACTATGTCTTGGCAAATAAATTTTTTGTAAATGTCTGTATAGAAGTCATCAGAAGCTAGTAGAATATTAAAAATTTCTCATAACAAACTGGAAAGACCCTGAAAAGTGCAAGTCAAACATGAGAAACTGAGGCTGACATTTCAAGTTCATGGAGGGGAGGTGCTATGAGAGGAGGGCAAACTGAATTTCGAATTCTAAAAACCTTCAGCCTACTGCTAGACACCATTCACGGGGAACATTACTGAACTTCTGTGAATAATGATTCCCCTTCTAAGTCTTAAAACGCTGTATACCAGTGCCTTCTTGAAAAAAAATTAAAAGATGAAAGCACAACATAGGTAATTGTACATACACAATTTTGTTTTCCACATGAATATGACAATGGCATGTACCTTAGAGGGTGTGCATACCAAGAAGAATCAGTAATTTAGCAATTGGTTTTGTTCACACTACTGAAAAACTGTAATTTTTGTTAAACTTGTAATTGATCAAGCTAAACACTTAACACTTTTAAAGTACTGGAAATAGGAAAAATATATTATATGCTGCTCTGCTGGATTTTTTGCAACTATTTTGTCAGAAGAAACAGCTGAATTTGGGACCTGCAGGTTGCTGAACACAAAATTATCACATTCAGCTCAGGGGAAGCAAAACCACAGCAGAGCCATTTTCTTTCTACTCAGTTCTCACATTGCCTGGGTTTGGGGAATTACTCATGACACAAGTCAAAGCAGTCATGGGGTTACTCTAAGCTGAGATTACTTGTCTACCAAAAGTAGTTGTCAACATTTCCCAAAGATTCTTCTACCAGATGAGAATTACGGTGGTTAAGTGCGCTGTTCTTCAATACCTGTGGCTCTTCTGAACTGGGGGAAATTGGTTATGGGGAAATCCCAGCTTGATACTAAGACAAGATTTCAGCCATTCTTGCATAAACTACTCATTCCTTAAAGAAACATTGGAGTCACAGTGTACCAATATTACCACTTGGATCTAGCCTAGTAGCTGTATTTTATACAACAGAATTGCTGAGTCATTGAAAAGGAAAAGCCAAATTCGTATTAGACATGTTGTAGAATAAAGTATTTTCTTCTGCAGAATAAATGTCAAGTAAATATCACTTAGGACTGAAGGCAGTTGGACTGGGATGTCTCATAACTCTTGGAGCACAAACAGGGACTTCTAAAATATCAGCAACATAATGGAAAACTTCGTCCTGAGTGAAGATGTACATGTCATCTTTAACCATATAGTGAAATCTGACTGATTTACACATAAATTCCATCTGGCAACACAAGAAATGCAGGAACTGTTTGACACAAACAGATCGGACTTTTGTCTACAAATGCTACGACTTCTGGATTCCTGGCTTCCTAGGCATGCAATGCAGTGCAGCTGTGGCCATCCCGAGGAAAGCAATGAGCTGGGTGTTATTTGAGTATGCTCTCAGCAAATACTGCCTGAGAGTGTTATCCTCTGAATAGTTACAGCTTGACAGCTGCTATTTATTATGAGAAAAACAGCAACTGTAAAGCTGCTTGCTACTTTATTTACCTAAAGCTAAGAAGCAACCACAGTGCTATGACACTAAGAGACAAATTTTTCACTTAGAACTTCTGACCCCAAAACACTAGGGACCAATTGGTCAGATTGCTAGCCATTAGTTATCACCATGTTCTTTATGTCCTGGCCCCTTCCAAGATTAAGCACTATTCAAAATTATTACAAGCAGTATATTCCTGGAATTGGGTTAATAGAGAAGAATACTGATTTTGCATACAAAGCTTTGCAGCTCCTACCTGTAAAGTGCTGATGTGAACAGGAGTCCCTGTGCCATTCACAGTGTTCTTCTTGGCAGCATTTCCACCCTTCCCTTCCGCTTGCTCTGCCTTGGCAATCTTTGCTTTTTCAGCTTCAATTCTCTTTGGATTATTTAGCATTACCTGAACCACAGCATATTCCACCAGGGATGCAAACCCAAAGAGAAGGCAAACAATCAGCCAGACATCTAAGGCCTTCACGTAAGACACTTTGGGAAGTTCAGCAGCAAGAGTGGTACATTCAGATGCCAAGCTGAGCACTGAGAAAATACCTACAAAAAGAGAAAACAATATATCTAGTAAGAAAACTTCCCTTTAATGACACTGGCTGTGTTCTTCCTCTGAAACAGACAACAGTGAATGATGTTTTGCAACAGTGAATGGGACTTCACAATGTGGTCGATGCAGCAGGTGTACAAAGTGCATATGCCTCCAGCTAATGAACAAGTTAAACACTTAGGTAGAATAATGCAGTTAATGATGAATTATTAATAATTATTACCTTCATTTTAGAAACAGAGACATAAATAAGTGAGGTTAAACTGGTTGTTATGGTTTCCCTGTGCCATCACACGTCACACAATTGAGAAATGGGCTTTCCAAAGACTTATCTTACAATGTGCATCTAATTCTGGGAAGGTGGAAGATAAATATATATTATATATAATATTAAACCAAAGTTTATTAAACTCCAAGTCCTTTAAATTAGACTAGCATTGTACCAGAAATCAAAACGTTGCTGTAGCAGGAGGAATTCTCTGAATGACCTGTTCACAAGTGTGAAATTCAGACCTTAGGTGAAAGGGAAGTTTTTGCTGAAGAGCAAAGCTGTATGAGAAAATCAAAAAGCCTTTGTTCCCAATTCACTGAGAAGATGAAAACGTGGAGGTGAATGAGGATCTACAATCGTTCCCTATTTGAACTTCCAGGCTCTAGAGGAAGCTTTCTAGATAAAGGGCATTTCATGAAGCCCTTATAATGAAAACAGCCCACATGTGCAAAGGCTGTTGAAAGGTCACGCTCATCACAGATTCCACCATGCATTTCCCCTAATAAGGCTTCCAAATATCGCCATCAGCACAGGATTCGTATCACAAGGGACAAAATACAAGCTTGACCCCAAAGAAAGATTTCTCACAGGCTCCTGTGAAAATAGTAGCACAATCAGCTACATTTGCAGAAAGCTAAATTTAGAAATGGCTGTCATACAGGAAAAACTTGGTTCAATCTCCAAGTTCAGAATGTCACATTTAGTTGTGAATGGTAATGATAAAAATCTTTATTTATGAGTGGGAGGCTTAATGAAATAGAATTGATATCCATAAAAAATGTTGGCCAAAAGGAGATATTCAGTTAGTCTCAACAAAGTTTGTTATATTGCATGGAAATTTTTTTCATTCATAGAGAGATGATTTCCTTAATTTTAAGTAACTGAGGATGTGAAAACATAAATTGAAATGAAACTATCTGTATTGGTGTATGAAAATATTAATTTCTACTTGTTCGCAAACAACACATTCTTCAGCTACTGTTACTGCCAAAAACATTTGTAAACCCACTTTTTAAACCTTAAAATACTATACCTTACAATCTTGGACTGAATTCTACAGAACTAACTTATAAATTCTAGCTGAAAGGATTTTTGTGGAGGTTTTATTAACATGTTCAGTAGAGCAACTGGTGACCAGCAGCTAATTTCCTTTTGTATGGATTCCTACAATGAAAGGTTCACTCAGAGTCTAAGAAACTTCTAGGTTTTCAAGGTAACAATAAAGTGAGACAGAAGCACAGAAATATTATATTCAGCAACCATTTGCTGCCTGATGAATGTTGGAATGGCCTCAGAGACCCTAGTTCCAGAGGTGTAAGCTGCACTTCTGGCAGCAGCTGCACTAGGTGCATGCTTATCACAATCCAAAGCTTAAGGCTCAAATGTGAGCTAGGAGCACGAATAAATAAACTGAAAGATCTGAAGTAGCTTCTCATCTAATAAGATCTGTAACTAGCCACTGGTGCACTTTCTTGGGGCTAGATGTCGTTTACTTGACACACAAATGTTAATCTTGTTGTATTTCAAGGTCAAGGATTTCAAGGATGTCACTAGAAGAGTTAGTTTGTTGCTCTCCTGACACCGAAGAAAGATAAATATTACCCCAGTAACAGCATTAATAACTATCATACTAAATACTGACTCAACTAAGGGGGTGTCAGATTTAGAGGTTTTTTGCTTTTCTGGGAATTAAGGAAAAGTCACATAGCCAGGCCAATGGTTAGCATCTTTGAAAATTCATTATTTCAGAAATGGCAATACATGAAAGAAACCACTAAACAGCTACAATGAACGAAACAAATAAACAATAAATAAGCATGCATATTTAGTTACAAAGACATCCATGTTACTTAAATCTGTGCTAAGATTCTTAAAAATGTAATATAACTTTAATAAGCTCAGGTGGTTCACTATTTGAATCATGGGATTATAAAACTGGCAGTACAGCTTGGTTTTGATTCTAGTTTTCCAGTTCATCTTTCATTCTCTTTAATTTAATGCATGATACATTTTCCCCACCCTTTTTGTCTTCAAATGTTGTCTTAAAGTTTTGCATTATGTAATGCAACCTTGCAATTTTTCAAGGTAAAATATTATATCTTTTACATGCCATGAAACTAATACAAATTGAGACTTCTTCCCAATTAATTATTTTTAAAGGTAAAAAAAAAAAAAAAAAAGCTTCACAGGAGTCATATCCTGTGGGGGTGTGTCAATTCCAGTGTGGGTAAGAGGTTTCTGAGCTAGGCAGGCAGCTGGAGGGATTCTGCAACTGCACCACTGGGGTATTAGAAACGGGTGCACTAAACCTCCTGGGACATGGCAAAGATTAGGAAAGCATGGACTTGGAGAGGGGAGAGTGCTAGGGAAAATAGGAGCCTTGTGGGGCTAGAACATGGGAAATGGAATCCAGATAGGAGAAGTGTCAGGATGCAGGAGCCTGACTCTGCATGTCACTGAGCTCTTGGGGTCAGCAGTTTTGGCCATACCAGAGCTGTAGTCCTGTGTACAACCCAATTAGTCAGGATAATATTGCTACTATTAAGTCTGTGTCCTGCTATTTCATAACAAATGAAGGGTCTGCCTACTGTGTTGTGCTGAGCAGCATGACTGCACGAGCTTTAAGTACTCTCATGAAGTGAGTCTAATGAAATAAAGCCAGTCAGATAACAAGAACGCTAGCTCTTTTCCAAATATAGTTTCTATTAATCTTCAGAAAGACTTCTCCAATAGGTAACTATTTAGTCTTCCTTATCACCCTGCTTTCTTAATGATTATTCAAATGTTGAAATGTCCTGTAAACTGCATATTGCCAGTGTTTGCAGCATCACCTGTGCATAGATGGATCAGACTTGTCCAGGCTGAGAGGAGTGGAGACAATGTGCTTGTCACCCAAATGCTGGAACTACTATCAAATGAAGTCTTAATGCTGAGGTGGAGTTCACAGGACTTGGAATGAGCAGATTTCAGTGAAAATGATAAGCAGATAATGGAAGTGAAGTTGCTTTCAGGGTCCAGTGTCATGTAGCCAAAGCAACTGAGAATGGCTCAATGGAGATACAGTGGATTGTGACAGTACGTGAAAACGCAGGTTACCCAGTGGGACTCTTGCAGCACTTGCATCAGGATTGATCCAAAATGACAGCCAGGATAGAACAACAATTAGCAGTGTAGGAGCATAAACACCCATCATGTAAAATCCAACTTGTCTTCTTAAAGTGAAGATTACTTCTACACAAGTGTAATAACCTTTAAAGGAATAAATGCATTAATGTTTAATGTACTTTGCAGGTGAACTTCTGATCCATATCATCCAGGTCTTTTTCTGCTCAAGAGCAAAAATTCAATGCTTTGATTTTCTTTATAAAGGTAAAGAATTTAATTTGAAAAAAAAAATCAAAACACAGGTCTACTTAAGCACCAAATGTGGTTAGGCTGTGGTACTCTGTGCTCTGTAAGGAACCCTTCCACTTTTCAAAGCAACAGGAGGCTGAAGTGACTCCCAGCTTGATGCTGGCTTCAAGATGAAGTCCAGCTAAAACCAATGGAGTCCAGCAGTCCTACTAGCTTAAGATCATCTGAAAATCCTACTTAGCACTAATTTGTGCAAAGGATGAATTAAGAAATATTAGTCTAGCAGGTTTAGAATGGAAAGAAGTGTTCTGAATGTGACTGTAACCAGAGATTTCCCCAGTACTGAAAGCTGGTACAAATAACTTCTGAAATTTGTACAGATATTTTTAAAAAGACTCTAGAAAAGCTGCAAATTTTGTAAACAAAGAATAATGTATCAAATCTTTTAAAATGAAGATCTAAAGCATACAAACTTCAGAAGATGCTTAAGATGAATTCAACACAATACAAAGTTGTAGTTACGAGATGTTTTTCTGAAGATAACAAATGTATCAAGTTTGATAACCAGAATATAATTTCTGTCCATATTTTCACTCAGTTGGAAGAATCAGAATATTTTTACATTAATTCCAACACAACAGTGTTGGGAAAAACCCAGAAAACTTCAAAAACTATTCTATCACAAGGAAAAGGCATTCCTATATTACAACAACTTCAAAATTCAAATCAGACTGTATTTATCAATCCAGTTGGTGAGAAACTTATTTAGAAGATAGAATGTGTCAAAAAGTTCTCTATATATCTTCTATATTGTATCAGTTAAGTGCTGTATAATGATTCGTCATCACAAAAGTGCTGTTTGGGCATACAAATACCATAACAACAAAACAATAAAACATTAAGGACAAACATCCTCGTGTAGAAGACACTATACTGTATTTTATAGTTCAGTCTATCATCTTCAGTGATCAGTTGGCTGAAAAATTTTCCCTCTATAATTTATGAAAGGATTCCAGACACTTTTAGGTTTATTTTTCAAATGAGCGATGACCTTCAAAATCATTATTTGTTTGTGTTATATAGGAAATGGATTCTGCATGCCTTCATTTGAATAATATTTCATCAGACAGAGTAGAATATCTATTGCCTTCACCATTCAGCTCAATAGGACCTATTTGATCTGTCATAAAATTGATGAATAACAGGAAATTTGCAAACATAAATACTCTATGTATTGCTACAAAAGCAGACCAGATTTGCTGACCCTCGTTCAACTTAGGCAGGTATGATAAAACATCAGTTGACAGAAATAGGCAGTAAAGATTAAGGGTTCTTGTAATTGTCAGGGAACTCCTACATAAACCATAATTTTGAGAATCTGTTCCTTGATGCAAAACTTCTCTTGATTATCTGACAAAATTATTTAGCTCTGTGTGTGAAATCTGCTTTAAAAAAATACCTTTCAGCAAAAGAACTTTCAAGTAAATAAAAAAATGGAGTATTGAAAACAGCCTTTAAAAATACTTCTAAGTATTTAAAAGTACTAAATATTTGACTCACATTACTGAAATATTAATTCTTGTTTTGCTTATGAGATTAAATGGAAGTTCTTAACAGAATGGATTTGCAATAAAAGAATTGTGAAAACTTTTCAAAATGGTTCTCTCCTGTTCTTTCTTTGATGTTCAAAGCATACACACAAACAGAATGTGCATATTTTACTGAACATTTTGTACCATGTCGTTTGTGGTCAAAGTTGCTGAAACTTGAGAGAACACCACTGATTTTTTTTGTGTATAGTCCTTAAATATTTTTCTTTAAGTTTCCTAAAAATACCTGAAATATCTAAAGTTTTTTTTGACATTTAATTTCAGATTTAAGGGACACCTAAAAATAATCACAATAGAATATAAGTTTTACAATTTTCCCATTTGTAGGAATGTCATTTGGGAGACAAGATCCATTCCTTTAGTTTTCCACTACTTTATGGATTATTTTTTTCAGTTAAAAAATTTCATTTTTAATAAAGAACAAAATATTTTCTCCCTGCTAAGCAAGGTTTTACCATATCCTGAATACAATCACTGCTAGATGCTGGATGTGCTTTCAAAAAATCAGAATTTTCCTGAAGAGAGGTAATTTCTTATATTTTACAAATTATAAATCACATGAGATGCTGAATTATGTTCTTAGGCTAACATCTCACTCATTTTGCAGTTAAAAAACAAAGCCCACTTTCATTTTCACTATATTTTAAAATTAAATTCTTAACTCTAAGACCTGCAAAGGTTCCTTGAGACCTTTCCAGGCTTGGAATCTACCACAGGAGCAACTGCAAGTAACAGAGCCTCCACTTCAGCTGAATAGGCAACAAGAAACTTGCAGAGGGTCTTCAGAAGCTGCAGCACCACAGACTTCCCAATCGAGTTTTAATGGAAGATTTATTCCCATGATGCAGAAACACTGACTGAAATACAGCTGTTCTTTTAGAAAGACTTGTGGCTGTCATAGTGTGAATAGTTTGGCTATACTTGTAGGCTGGAATCAATCAAGGTGAAAAAGGTAAACCATTAAAAGCCAGAGTACAGAAAGCATTGGAAAGATTTGTGCCTACATTAGAAAAATAATCACAGGAATAAATAAATAGAAGGCTGAGGATTGCAAGCAGCTTTCAAAAATGACATAATTTCCAGACTTTTAGAGAAAGGAAGAACCTGCAGGGTGAAGCATTTGGAATTACACTCTAATAATATCCACTTATGGAACAAAAGTCTAGCCAGAAAATCAAAATTTACCCACTTTGCTGCAACTGGTATGATTCCACATGAACATTCTTTCAGAAAAGTTTGACATTTACAAGCATAAACAGGTATTAGAACCACAGAAATAAAATGGTGATAATAAGATCACAATATATGTAAGCAAAGCCAAAACAAACATTTAATCTCTTCTTCTACTTGGATATTTCTATATTTGAACTAGTTTGTAATGATCACATATTAAACTTACCATTATATGAACCACTCATTAGTTAAAAGTAATCTATTTTATGCATTTTATTAAATGTAAGATGTGGACTGGAATATTAACTATAAACAGTAATTGAAGGAGGCTCAGAGTTTTTTACCAAGGAAATTACTTATATTACCTACCTGTGCCTTTGTAATACTTGGTACAGTTACCATATTCAATATCCTCCTTTTTAATATCAAACTGAGGCAGAGCAATTTTCTCTAGCTGTACAGGATCTCCAGATTGCCAGATAAACCGTAAGTCATCAGTCGTGTAACCAACTACAAGAACAAAATAATAACAGTTGTTTAAAGAACCACCTCAATCACAGTAAACTCTGCAACAAAACCTAGTGTATATATATATATATGTATTGTATATCTTTCAGTCTTTTTCTTTTCATTTCCTGTTCAAATAAATAAATAGAAAAATTAAATATTTTGCAGCTGCATTTTTATGTAGGCCGAAGTTTGAGGGTGAAACATTACATTATCAGCAATATTAGGATGACTAAGAGGTATTTGTTACTGTGTGTACTTTGCAAACAAAGAAAGTAAAGCTGTATTTTCCACAGCTTTCAAGCCTCCATATTCATTCATACTCTACTTCAGCAAAATATGAAAAAGCTGAATTTTAAACAGCACTTATGAGTCTGAGTAACTTCAAAAGAATTTAACAACTCAATTACCATGATGAATCTTGTTGTTTGTGTAAGACAACCGCACTGCTTATTTGCTCAGACTAAAAGTCCTGATTCATGAAAGCATTGCTATTCAGGAAATACTTGACCAGGAATGAGAGCAGATGTGCAGTCCTACAGAAATCAGCTCAGTGCCTTCATGACCTAATGAGTACAGACAGACCTCAGCAAACTTCTGAGTGCCCAAATCATAATATATACACCACCACCAAGTGAGAGGCAAGTGCAAGTTAGATTCACAATAAAGAATAAAGCAATATTGATTAAATATGCATAATCAGAATCATGATTTTACATGTAATTTTTCTGCTACCTTCTGTTCACTGAAGATTAACTTAATTCAAACAGAGATAATGTGTATTAGATGGAAACAGAGATGAGGAAACATAAAAAAGATGAAGTTGGAATGCATCATTTAGCAGTTCAAAGCCTGAGAAAAATATTTAAAGAGCCATTCTTTTTCTGGAGGCATCAGATTACTCTTTTTAATTTTTGAAAAATAGCTGTGATTAAGAAAGTTAAACTGTTCATAAGTGATGTCTCTACAATTCAAAATAATTTAATAAAAATCACAATGTTTCAAAGCTCCACAATATATTATACTATTAAAAAAATTTGTTTTAATGTTTCATTCATAAAACTGTTTTCACCCCATTCCAACACACAGCATATCACAAAACTGCCAAGATCATGTTTGATAGCAATTACTGGAGAGTGAAAATTGTGTTTATAGAGAATACGTAGAACTGCAGATCATAACGGTATATATGAGAACATCTTAGTAACAACTGATGGCCTTCTTTGATTTTAAGCTTAGCAAGTAAAAACAAAATATTGATTTGAAAATAAACTAAGAATAAAACTGACAGTGGTTAACAGGGAAATAATTGAAAGGACGGATAGGAAGTCAGGGGTACCTTTCTTACTTTTGATAATTGAATTAAAAGGTAGAAGAAAATTTAGTGCACAATCTTTTCAAAGAAGTAAATTCACTGAATTTGAGTATATCAAATTAGCATGATTCTTTTAATGAGTAGTTTATCTGTGTATGACTATACCTTTGAACACTTGCAAAGCAAGTGGACTTTCTGGACTGAGAAATGTTGAGTGAACTTCTATTCATATTACTAAACTAAACTGATTTGGGTTTTCCATAAGAGTTTACTTCAGCTAATCTACATACATAGTAGTGATGAACAAAATTACCGTGGACATACTAAAATTCTAAAGATAAATGCTGACAATCAAAACCTAAATTTTAAAACTCTATTGTTGTTATTATTATTATTATTATTATTATTATTATTAGTAGTAGTAGTAGTAGTAGTAGTAGTAGTAGTAGTAGTAGTAGTAGTAGTGCTATCCTTGTCCCCATTGTGATACTCTGCCCAGTTTTGGTTAACCTTACTTTTTCTTCACTTGTGACTTCCTTTCCCTAACCTCACCTTTCCTACCAGACCTGCTGGAGCAAGAGCTGAATGAGTTTTTATGTTGCAGCAGGAGCAGACTGGAACAAGTCACCATCCTTCTCTCTGCTTCATGCTCATCCCTATTCAGGAAAACAGAATTACCATGAAAGTGGGATCACCAAGGATCAAAGTGCTGGAAAAATCTGTAGTTGAGTAGACACCTGTGTACTTGGGGCATGGGAAGGAAGATTGATTTCAGAAACATTTTGTCTGCAACTTCCAGCATGGCATGAAGCCCTTCAGAGATGTGACCTGTGTGCCCTGTTGTAAGATTAAATCACCTGGAGACCAGGAATAGATGCCTGACTACATCCACAACACACCCTGAAACTACTTTCAAAAGGTTTGATACTAAATGATCTCACTGCTTTGGCATCAAACACTTTTCCTTTGGTACTGTATCAAAGGAGTTCCAAACAATACCAATGTATTATCCATGCAAGAGGATAAATTGGGCCCCAACAACCTACAAAGAAGCACAGGTTGGGGAAGTTAAAGCTACCAGGCAAAATCATTCTTTTTTCTAAAACTAAGAGTGCTGTAACAGTAAGAAACATCTTTGATAGGGAAATGTACATTGGTAGGAGTGAGTAAAAATTTCATGATTCATTAAAAACATTTTCATGAATCATTAAAAACATTGAGATGAAGCAAACAGAATAATTTTTGTTTGAATCTCATGCATGCCTAGAAGAGAACCGCTTTTATGGAGTGATTTACATACAGCTTTCCAATTGCATCTTGCAGCGCTGTGTATCCATAGGAAACAAGGTCAAGTCCAAAGGGCATGACAGTGTAATAGACAATCTGAAAATACAGAAATGGTATTTAAAACAGCGTGAGCTGTCAGGTAAGCAGTAGATGGCCATGAGAAAGAAAAAATCACAAGTATTTGATTTCCATCTTCTAAAAGAACAGAAAGAAAGTTTAGAAGTTATAATTAGCAGTTTGCAATGGAGATCTCTCTAGTATAAAATGAGACAATAAAATTTAAGAGAGGGTTTTAAACACACAGAAGCTCACAAATTAGAGAACTACTAATACAAGACAAAATACATACAGGTCACAGAATAACCAAATCAAATGTCCATACAGAACAGTCCTGTCTCCACCATTGGCCAATGACAGACTTCTAAAGAAGAATAACTACAGCAAACTGGAAGTGCTATTTTGCCAGATATCCAGCAGCATCCAAAAGTTGCACCTCAAGGGCTTTCCAAACCAGAAAGGATTATTCCGTATTTAAGGGACATCAACAGAGTTTTTTTGTCTCCCAGAAGTTGTTTTGCTTTCAGCTGCTTTCCTGAATCTAGGTGTCCTGGTTTCAGCTGGGACAGTTAATTTTTTTTCCTAGTACCTGGCACAGTGCTATGCTCTGGATTCAGTATGAGGATATCATGGATAACACACTAATCTTTCTGGTTGTTGCTGAGTAGTGCTTACCCTAAATCAAGGACTTTTCAGTTTCCCGTGCTCTGCCAGTGAGCAGGTACACAAGGAGATGGGAGGCAGCAGGGAAGAGATGGGCATCTGTAAGCAGGTAGTGAGCAAGTCTATTTTGCATCACTTGTTTCTCTTGGTTTTATGTCTCTGTCCCCCTGTCCTTTTTATTACAATTAGCATTAATACTTTTACTTTGTTTTACTTTGTTGCAATTTTTAAGTGGTTCTTGACCCATAACTTCTGTGCCCTTTATTTTCCTGCTTCTCCTCCCCATCCCATTGGGGCCAGGAGGACATGAGTAAATGGTACTTAGTTGCCAGCTGGGGTTAAACCCCAACACCACATAAACCTTAACATGCACAGCATCTTGCAGCAAAGAACAGTATAGCTAAGCTGCACTCACTTTAATCACCTTTTATCTATCCTCAGTCTGTCTCATAGTTCTTTCACTGTAAAAGAAGGCAAAAAATCAATGTCTATCCATTCTCTCTGTGCCATTTGTAATTTAGACACCTCTATGGCAGAGGTCTCTATTTAGAGACTGTTTTCAATTTAGAGACCTCAAGTATTTTGCTTTTTCCACTGTGAAAAGTTCAGCCTTGCTCAACTGTTCCATACCTTTGACTATCTCTGCCTCCCTTCCTACAGCTGGAAGACCAGAACTACATTCAAGATGTAAGTATAGCATACTTTTATGCTGTGGCATAACTTTAATCCCTAATACTTCCAAGAATGCAATTCACTTTCTCAGATAGTACTGAGCTATTGGGTGACATTTTCAGAGAACTACCCATTACTACTCAATTTTTTTGGCTGGTAATAACCAACTCTAGATCAATCAGGTTTTATGCGAAGTTAAATAATTTTTTTTCCCTCATGCATCATTTACAGTTGTTTACATTGAACTTCATCCTATACTGTTTTGTCTAGACATTAGATTGATTTGTGGTTCTCACTGTTGTTTCTTATCTTTACTGTTCTGCATATTTTGGTATCATCAAACACACTTGCAAATTCAGAGTTTTTCAGATGGTTTATGTTTAAAAGCACAGAATAGATTTTTTTTGTGGGAGTCTACTGTTTACTTCCCCTGATGTGAGCAGTAGCTGTTTATTTCTGCATTCAGTTTCCAAATTCTTGACTATTTGTGCAAGATCTTTCTCTCATACACATTTTTCCATACTGGTATTTTGGAGAGTCTCTCATTTATATGTGATAATATTTCTGTAAACTAGAAACACAAGACATAAAAATTATATATTTTAAAAATGCCACCAAACCACAGTCCCTAAAAATTCATCTTACCTATATATATATCATGTAAGAACATAGTGTGCTATTAAAATAAACAGTATTTTTAGAGGATGACAATAATTTCTAACTTTATGAAACCTGGTTTTCTTATTTTCAAGTTTTCAGAGAATAATTTTTCCATCAGAAACCCTTCCATTCGTATTCATTCAATATTCACTAATCATTAACCATAGCTATTGATCTCATCTATAAATACCTGCAACCCAGAAAAAATATTTGAAAAATATTTCAAGGTTTCATTTAACATCTGCTCTTTCAAATGGGAAACTTCTTTCATAGCTGGAAGTTATTTTCTACTTTGAAATATTAATTTCTACACACTTCAAAACTGTGGAACCAGTTGAAATCAAAACCAAGACCTTCAGAGCAAGCCAAATGAAATTCTTTTATTGCCCAATGTATTTTCTTTTCTCATCACTGCCAGCAATAGTCTTGACACTGATTTTTCTCATCCTGTTTTGAAATGGAAAAAATAGAACCCAAACTCTTTCATATTGTTTCTTCTTTGATTCTATCCATTTCTACTCCAGAAAGAAATAGCTCATGTGAACCTAGCTTCTTGAGTGGTTCCCTCTTAAAAGTAATGTTGCAGTATATTCAGATAATCATTTCTGCGTCTATCAAGGCAATATGTAACAGAGGACACCAGAAGAAAATTCACTTCCTTTTAGGAAATTTAGCCTAATCTCTACAAACAATAAACTCTCCAGATCTGTAATTCACTATGACCTCCTTTTTAATCAACTAATTTGCTGTTTCCAACGGATGACTATTTTTGTGGAATCATGTATACCTTTGATAAACCACCAAAAAAGGATATGTCAATTGCGATTAAATTGAACAGCAATTTGGTGTTCTGAAAAAAATTATATCCAGTAAGGCATAGAACTTAATCAGGATTTTTTTGCATACATATTCACAAATTTTTTAATTTCTGCCTTTCCCTATATCTTTAGCCAGTAATCATGGTTTACTTTAGTTGCTATAAAAATTCAAGTAGTGTGCAACATATACTGTTTTTCTAAAGGCTGTATTTCAGATATATTTTCCACTCCATTATGCTTCTAGGAACCTAAGAAATCATCAAAAGGGTTTAAATTTAGTTAGTTCAGTGTGTTAGCTTAACATGTATATACACTTCAAATTTCTCACACCTGCAGTGCTATCAACAGACATGCTTTAAAACACTTCCATCTGATTTCTTTACACATACTTGATTTATTGCAGCATTGTTTAGAGACTGTCCTATAAGTTTAAACATTAATAATAAATTGTATTACATTGCTAAGGCTAACACAGAATATATATTTCATATAAAATCACTTTAAAAAAATAGTGGAAGCATATAAATAAAATACCTCATGCTGACTAGGACATCTCCATCCCGAAATATAAAAAGGAGGATATTTTCTTGTGTGACATCATGGAAGTTAGCATTTTTTTCATTTGCAAAGAATAAGTCTGGCTTCCAAAGACACTTAAACATAGTTGGGTCCACTGTCAGTGTATCTGAACCTCTCCAGTCATTGGGCAGTTTGAGTCTGGGGTCATTCCACTTCTGTCTTAGAAAGATGTTGACTCTATAATCCTGATGGGAAGAATAAATAAATATTTGACTAGCCAAAAGTCTAGCAGAAAACTCACAAAGAAACAAAACCATTCTATCAGATTCATTAAAAAAATTAGGCCCTGATTTTTCTATCACAAAGACAGTAATCACTATTCAAATTACATTATGAAGTGTTATGTTTAACAGGCTTTACTACAAACAGATTACATCTCACTCATTGTTTTGAATATAGCAACTTTCCTTAAACAAAGGATCAAATTGCCACTCCACGGTAATTTTTGTATTCCCTCAGTAACAGCCTCCTGTCACCCAGGCATAGAGAAAAGCATGCAGCAGGGCAGAGGAAGGCCATAGCTTGACTACACTAAATGGCTGCAGGCAGCAGGCATGATATCACTTCTATCAGGATATCCTGTGAGTGCCAATTCCAGTTTACTCTCCATTTGATTAAGTGGCACACTGCTGGCAAAATATCACACTATAAAAGCAGGAAACAGACCAGCCAGGTAACAGATTTTATACTACACACTTAGAATACAGCCTCAGACCTTCTATCAGTGATCTGGGACTATCTTGGTAACAGGAAAACCGATGTCAGCTTGCAACATATGTACTGATGTAGCAAGTATGAAAGGAGAAACAGAATCAGTCTCAAAGAGACAAAATCAAGGCATTACAGAGGAAATCTTCTGAAATCAGTAGGACTCAGGCTGAAGAAGGGACAGTAGTAGAGCCATTCTCAATGAGAACCTAATTTTGCTTTTGGGAATCGGAGTATCATGTGTCTCAAGGCAAAATGATACCCTTCACATGTTCTGTCCTTAGTGAAAGCAGTGTGCATCTGAAGGAAGAATCTGACTTAGAATGTCAGCTATGATTTTTCAGTCTTATCTCTTAAGTCTTTTTGTTTTTTACACTTACATTAAGCCAGCACCCCTTTTTGATGTATATGTAAACTAGGCAGATCATACACAGAGAAAGAATAAAGTTATTGTTAAAAAGAAGTTAAACAAACCCAAAAAAATTAATGAAAATTCTGTATGTAAGTTTATTTCTATCTCCAGTCTTCCTAGTTTCCTTCTATAGTGTGCTTTGTTTTTTCATAATTGTCTATTAGGTACAAAGCCTTCTGAGAGGGCTGTGCCTTTCAGAGCAGTGAAAACACTGCTACTGCTCTACAATTATAGCAAAATTCTAAAAATGTGTGAGTGAAGGCTTTCAACATATTTTTGGTTTGTCAGTGGATTCTGCCTACAAACGAATTTTATAAAGTTTTTGATTCTACATGTCAATGACTCTTACACATTTTTTTTTTATACAACTGAATTATCTTTTGTTGAACTTGATACATTTACAGTCCAAAGCAGGTGCCATGTTGAGACAGCCACGCTAACTTCAACCAGAAGGAGTCTTCTTGGCTAAGACCTCATGAAGAATAATCTATTCTGTTGATTTGCTCTGTATATTTAAACACATTTTCCCATGTCCAGTCCACCAGTCAAATTAGCTCAAGTATTTTTTATGACACTATACTGTGTAGTATTTTTCCTTACTGCATTGTAAAGAATAGCAAAGCATCAAAACCAAATACTTGTTATTTGTTGGTAGCTGGTTTTGGAAAAAATATACATAGTCTGATTCTTATTTCTACAAAGACCTATGATGACTTGCCAAAGTTAAGAGGCAAAAGATAATGGTTAATATGAAGTGAATTTGTACTGGAAGTCTCTCATAGAGAAGCTTCATAATTGGATAGAGAAGCTTCATAATTGGAGGGAATTCAGGTCATTATCTCAAAAAGCATCTTTTCAATTATATGTATATAATTGAAAATTTCCTTTACTTGCTTCTTGCTGAAGCTCCTATTCCATATGCACTTCTTCTCTCAGTGAAAAAAATTACTCTGAACCACGTGAGATAAATACTGCATACCATTCATGCTCACAAGCATTACACTATTGGTTACACTGAATTTAATTTCCCCATAAACAAGTGTGTTACTCTAATTTTAAACAAAATAAGATGCCTTCCCAAAGCCAAATGATAAGCACTGTCCAACACTTGCCTTCAGGTTACCCATTCAGTAGAAGGAGATGCTTACATCACTGAAAAGCAGAATGCACTGGTTTAATAAGAATTGGAAGTAAGATCAGGTGGATGCTATTTTATTTCCTTCCTTGCTCTACTATGAATTAACTTAAACACCAAACAATCAGATGTTTCAACATTATAAGAACTTGAGTCTGTTCTTGTTTAACTCAGAGAAAATAAAATCCCATTAATCTAAAATGGGGATGTTCAGGCCCAAAATAGAGATGTTGATAATTGGAGAGGAAGGCCACCACATACTTGAGGCAATACAGAAAATGTAGAAGGAAGCAAAGAGATGTCACAATAAAAAACTGGCTAGCCAGACAGCAATGTGCAAAACAGTTGCTTTTTAGAAGAGCATGTACCCTTACAGCATCTGGCAGCAGTAAAGACAAAGATCTGGTGTCAATCTATCTTGAAAGAAGTCTGTAACCAGTCCTCTCAAATTGGCACAATGAATTTTAAGATACAGTAAGTATATTACAATTAGGTTGAACAGGGGTTGAAGAAGAAATATGCATGGAGCACATGGTCTTACTGGTGTACATTTTACAAATGTTTTTTGAATTTGTAGAGTGATTGGCATTTTATAGAAAAGGAGAGTCAAATAGCAACTAAGAAGCCTGAATCTCAGGGAAGAGGATGAAAGAGATATTCATCAGCATCAGAGCTAGGAGAACCTGCCAGGTAGAAACACAGAAATATTCTACAGGGCTTTGTTTTCCCATGCAACTCCAATAGAAGGCAAGTTATTCTCAAGGAGGTTGGGAGGCATTCTAGGAAATATTTCAGAAGTCTACTAAAGAGTTGGCATGTGGCCAGATAACCACCTCAGGTTAGAAAGCAAGCATGGCCTATACATCTCTCTGCAAAATAGAGCACACGGAAGATCATGAATGACTTACTACATAAACTGCACTCATACAAAGAAAGGCAACATAATACTGCTTCCTTTCAATGAAGTAGAAAATGTAATTTTTAAGATTAAAATATGGAAACCAAATAGTTTTTATAGTCACAAATATTAAAAATACATTTCTGAGAGATTTTTAAATAGAGGAGAAGGAAGAAGTGGTGTTTTGTCATTTGGTCAGTGCAGAAAGGTCACACTGCAAGCAAAAACCTTGAACATAGATTCTGTAGACAGAAAGATCATCATCACAGAAAAGAATATCGTAGTACTATGGGTGTTTATACCAGAAACTCCCTATACCTAGGAATCCTTGACTGGTCATCCTGTTTAAAACAGCTTCTAAATGTGACATTATCACCATATTATGCCACAAATCTGCAGTCTGAAAAAATGTGTGCAAACTCAGAAGCAGAGCTAACATGGGGTCCTTGACAAGTAGTCTAATGATATAGAAGGAAACAAGTTACAGGAGTCATGATAAAGAGAGCTAACTGGAAGGCAGCAGCTCTGGTGAAAGCTCTTCTTTTTATCTGTTCTGATTCTCTCTGTAGTTCACTAGTTCTTTTGCTTTTTTTTTTTATTTTTTTCAGAAAACTTGCTTGCTAAGGATGTGGAAGTACTGCAATTCTCTTCAATATTAAACAACACAACGTGAGCACTATTCTTTCTAGACACAGAGCAAACATGTGCCCTTCAGACACTTCACAAGGGCTTGATTAAAGCGATACAGGATTCTGGGCATAGAACCCACAAAATGGGAACTCTTGCTTTAAAATAGTTACTTCAAACATGTAGCTGTGTTTCTATAAAGAAATTCCCTCCTTTCTTAAATCTAATGGATACTACCTCAGAAGGAGCTAATCTCAACTCTTTGTTGAGGATGAGCCAATTGCATAGCTAAGAATATAATAATCACAGGACCAGAACATCAGCAAGCAAGGCCTTTTCTCACTGTCACTCTACACATTTGTTTGTTGGGCCTTCTATCATGACCTCTCTCCCAGTCATCTGGTACCCATTGTTATTTTTCCCCACACTTCCATCACACAAAAGAATCATTGCTTTAGCATGGCTTTACCCCTAAATAGACTTTGCAAAAATTTATGAGTTCAATTACTACAGCCAGCAGTAGAGAGCAAAGCATCATCACAATAATTCACTGACTGAAATACTTAGAAATATATTATTTCACAAATTCTGGTATCACTCCAAGCAGTTTAGCAGCTTCTGGTAATTTTAGAGACAGTCTATAAATCAATACTCCTCATGATTCTCACCAACACCAGAGACAGTAGAGATGTAGCCAGCCACTCCCTTCTCCAACACCAAGGAATATTTTCAGCAGTTCTGGTACTTTTGCAAATGTCTCCTTTTCAGAACTTAGTAGTTCTGATACCCCTCTGTTCCTTCTGATCACAGGCTTGGTGCCTCACCTCCAGGAAATATTTTTCTTGTGATTCTGGAAGTACAAGTCTTTTCCTATTCTAAGGGATTAATTTCTACTGTCTGGTGTGTTACCCAGACCATTTGAAGACAAGTACAAACCCATCCCCAAGAGAGCAGTGATTCCTGAATATCCAATGACCACTGCAGCAGGAAGAATTTTCTAAGTAATACATGGAAGAACAGATTGACTGTTAATTTTGTCAGTGCTTCCTGTATTACATTAAGCCAATCAAGAAGTAATCCAAATTTCACATAAACATGCTTAGCTATCATAGTGATCAACTAGACATAGAAATCAAAATAAAAGCATAAAACAATGTAAGGATGGTGTCTGAAGTTCTGAATTATGGAGGAGAATATGACTTATCATACAGCACGTCCTAGTAAATTTGTGAGAGACCATATCAGGAAGGCACAGACAGGCATACGTACATGGCTGCAAAGAGTGTACTTTTTTTTTTTTTGGAGCGGCTGGGGGGAAGAAATCTCTCACATTCATGTTTTGTTACTATCTGCATCTGGGTGAATTGTAAAAAAGCCTTTTAAAAGTCACTTTTCAAAGCATGCAATTAACTTCAGAAACTTGAAAGGACCGTCAAGATACTTGGTATCTTAAGACACTTATCTCAGTTCTACTTTCCTGCTCTTCCTCCCTGCCCTTCTTTAAATTTGAGTCGTCCTTTTGTTTTCAGAAATAAAACTCATGGCCTTTTGGGCAAAATTATAATTTTTTTTTGTTTTAATATCACTTCCCACTAATGCCATTAGTTGACTTACTATCATTTGCAATCAAACATAAATCTCTGCTAGCTAAAGAAACAGAAATTTCTCGCCAAGCTGTTCAAAACTGTTCCAGCCACCATTTATTTTCAACTTGGAGTGGTTCTGCAGTCCTATTGAAACTTCATTAGGGTAATATGTAAGCTGGTTCTGAATTTTAAGTGGGCATTTATATCCAACAACAAAAAAATGTGTTTTATTGCTTATTAGTGGTATTGTGGTTTATTGCTTCTCTGCCATTATGAGTCAGAATGCTGCCTTAGTCACAGCATTAGAAAAGGCAATTTGATTTTTGGAACTGCCTCAATGCTTTAGATGCAGCAGATCACCAAAGCAATCAGGGAATGCCTCAGAACTCCCACTCAGTGCATGTCTTGGCTGTGGCTTTCCATGTACTGGCACAACATGGTGCATTCCCCTCTTTTTTACACAAAAGTAAAACCTGATCAGGTCAGAACATCTTCAATAACTAAATGCATTTTTTTGGCAATATTTTTGATAGTATTTATTGAAAACACCTGGACAAAAAGAGATCTGAAAGTCCCAAAATACCAGAAAAGGCTTTGCTGAAGCAACTCATCTTTGGAAATTGATTTTATTTCCCAAAGAAACAAAAGAAGTCAAAATTATAATGAGGATTATGTTGAAATTTTCTGGCTGAACTGGAAACACATTTTTACTTCAAACTTCATTCCCCAGTTTATCTTTCCCATGCAGTAAATAAACAGCAGTAAGGCTATGGTCATTGATAGTCTATTCCTTTACTACTGCTCCTTCTATTCCTCCACAATTTATTTCCATCTTCAGATCCACATAAGACAAAGAACCTGTAAGTTTCATCCTTATGCTTGTCTGTTCTTTTTTTCTCACATACAGTCTTAGTGGTTTGTGGTTTTTGAATAGCACACCAAGCAACCTCTGTAATAACTCTCAGGAAGATCTTTAACTCATATGACCACATGGGTTCTTCCAATGAACTTAATAACTTATGGAAATTGTTCTACCTCTTACATCTTAGAAACCATGGATTTCCTTTCATGTAAATTAGATTCTAAAGCCACAATAATCTGTGGACATATAAAAAGTGAAATACATTAATAGGTTTAGGTCTATGGCATAAAACACAGTCAATCACTAACTCCATTAACTTAATTCTCAGTGTCTGCACCCACAACAATTATTTCTATTTTATAGTTCATAATCTTCAGTCTGAAGTTAAATATAGTAAGAAAATCTCCATGTGTACTACACAAATTTAATTTCACTCTTACCATAGTTGTCTCTTGAATTGACCCAAAGCTGTTAATGAAGATGTTAACTGCAACATCGACTGGAATTCCTTTAAAAAAAATAATTCTAGTGAGCTACACAACCCAGTAAAGATACATTATCCTTCATTTAAATCTCCTTTATACCAGTATCACAATGTCACAATGTAACTTTAAGTTTGTATACATGCAGTTTTCAAAGTCATTAGAAATCACTAAAACTCTTTTTAGCCTAGTGGTAAGAAAAAGGGAAAAATAAAAATCCTTAGTCCAGAGAGCTAATCTTACAGAATTCCACTGACCATACATCTAATTTAATAGTTTTTGAATTCCGTGGTTTTCTGTTATCTCAGAATGAATAAGCCAGCATTACTTTTGCACACAGTATAACGGATAGAGGAAATTCACATTTCTAGCAGCAGACACTTTTAACTGTCAAGTTCATAATGACAATCTATCATCCCAAATTACGTGTTTATGATTTATGATGAGATATTTCCTTATGCTTTAAGAGGAGACCTCTTTGAGCAAGTAAAATACATACATGTGTAAAGTACAAACACAGGCAGGTAAAAATTAATGCATGCATCTTTTGCAGCTATCTAGCCTTGGTATGACAGAACTGGAAAGCTTCTCAATTTTACAATGGTTACCAATTAGCCAAGAAAAATTTCTAGATGTCAGCAGCTGTGAAGATATTAAGATGGCCTGGATTTTTTTCTCTTTTCCACAGCCAGGATTCCTGTAGTTGAAGAGGGATGGTATGACAGCTGCTACATCTGCCCTCTGTCACTCTGTGGGATTTGATTGACAGTCATTTAATCTGGTGTTAACAGAGAGTTATCACAGAGCAAGGAGAAGTGGCCTGATAGTTGAGAGAACTAATTATAGATCACTGCTTTTATTTAGTGTCTCTATGGTGTGAGTTTCAGGATGTCCACTAGATGCAGGTATCTGATCTCATGTGCACTGTTAAAAACTCTTGGCAGGTTTCTTCCTACTTTCAGCCAGAAAAGAGATATAAGAATATATGAATACTGTTTTGACAGACTAATACAGTACTAAATATAGTACAAAGTAATACATGCCTCCTCAAATAGCTTGTTTGTCTGCATAAAATATTTTATGTACATTTAACACAGAAATTCAAATTCATTCTCTTGGTTACCAGAAATTCATGAAGATAAAATTTCAGTTTTTCTGTTAAACCAACTTGTTTGGTTTGCTTTTTTAATCAGACTACTTAAGTGTGATGCTTTTGGTTATGCAATAGGTACAATATTTCTTTTAATGTCTGATGCATGTGACAGAGCACCCATCACATCACAAGTAGCCAAGAGTGTACTCTCTCTTCCAGATTTGAATAGGAAGTGCCATCCAAGAAAATCACTCATGTGTGAGGAACATTTTAACATGGGCAAACCACTTGTCAGAAAATGTTCTTTTTCTTCCACCTCCCCCTGAGTTAACATTACATGTCCTCCCTTTCCCTTCTGTCTTGACTCTTACCAGACTGCCAGGAGGGTTATCAAAAATATAAAGAAATCTGCAACATGCTTTGTGATTATAAGCTGATTATGCTGAGGAACAGGTAGAGAAGAGGCTGGACATATATTCTTTGTGACAAGACTCAGTGCTGGAAACATAAATACAGTTCTACAGAGAGTAAGAAAGAAGCAGAACACTTGCTGAAAACTGAGTTTAATATGTTTATAAAACTGTTAAATAGAACTGAAAATAGCCTCTTCAAAAGCACAATAAACATTTAAGATTTCCAAATTTTTCATTCTAGCGATATTTATGTTAAAATATCTCTTAAATGCTCATATAATTAATTAAAATGAAAGAGCTGTTTTATGTAAACTGCATTGCCTATATGTAATAACATTGTCTACATCTTTTTTCAGAAGGTAAATAATCTAATTCCTGGAAAGTCTGATTTACAGCCCAACTTGTGTGAATTCTTAGAGGTTTTGCAGAGAATATGTATTCCAACTTTTTCTGCATATGTAAGGATTCACACTTGCCTACTCAGAAGAATCCTGCAACATCTGACTACCAGGGAGATGTTTTAATAGAAGAAAATGTGTTTCAATGCATTCCCTATAAATTCCCTATGAATTCCCAAAGTGTGTAAGCTTTTTATCTAAAATATCTTTAAAGGATTTAATAATTGCATAGTTTTCTAATAGTGATACTGCTGACCCCAAGTTTTTTTTAGTTATCTTAAAGGATGCAAAAAAAAATAAATCAAACATTAAAATCCAAATATTAAAAAAAAGGCTGAAATATCTGACTAACCTTTGAAATTAGGCCTTATTCTGGGATCATAGCTGAGCAATAGTCTATTCAAGATATTGCTTGTAGAATTAGCAGGTACTCTTGCAAGGTCTTCAGCTGATTGCTGCCTGTAAAAAAAAGTTCATTAGTTACTATCAAGACAGAAACAACTGCATGCTAAAACTGAAGTGATTTCAAAGTAATGCAATAAACGCCATTTCACAAGTAAAAAATGTTTATTATTTTCAAGTGCTATACTGTATAGTCTTCCTTACCTTGAGAAGTTTCAGTATTTTTCAGGAAACTATTTGTGTAATAAACATAAATGCTCTCTGACACACTCCTAACTGTAAACTTGGAAGCAAATAAACTGCAATTCACTAATTGTTCCCTTCCCTCCTAACAAAAATATGCGGAGGGACATGATTTCTTCATCAGTAGAAAGCAGCCACCTGAACTATTTTTAGTGACTGTCTGATTAGGAACCTTAGCAAATTGACAGCCACTTTGTAGGTGCCAAACCATGCAGAGGCTTTTGGCAGTCTCCTGCTCTCACATGCCAGCGCCAGCTATTCCACCCAGAGCTGGAGGATTGCATAATCTCATTGTCAAGTGCTAATAAAAGCTTTGCTACAGAAAACAAGGCCTAGGACTCTGGTTTTGCAGGGGGAATTTAAACATCTTCATTACCTTGCCATTATTGTGCTGGATGTTAAATGAAAACCATTCCTACAATCAAAAAGAACCTGTGACAGGTAAATGTAGCTACAAGAGTACATGAAATTGAGTGTAATAAAAAGCAATACAGGTGCGTCAGTGCCCTCCCCAGGTATTTTAAATGCCAAGCAGGCTTGTAATGGTATGTAAATTAATTTGTATGTTTCCAGAACCTGTTCAGTGACTGTTTCCAGTTTTGAAATCTGTCTCATAATCACTTTTCCATCCTTTTAATGACTACTTTGCTGTGTTTCTGTTATTATAATTCAGTAACCAGGACGCCATGTAACAATAAGACAAACACCTTACAGAGGTATAAGTCATATGCATCAACTTTATCACCTCTTCCAAACTAATGCATGAATGTATTTTAAAAAATGATCAAGTTTATTTCCTAAATGTTTTCCATAATCAGTATCAGCTGCTGTTGCCTTCCTCACCCTGTAATTTCTTTTTTTCGTTATTCTTTCCTATACCAATGTCAGTTTGACAGACCTACAGGTTATTCTGTATAACATCTCAGTTCATTGCTTTTTTTCCTCTCATCCTTCAGTTTCCTTCATGTCCTCTGGGATTTCTGACTTATTCAAACATTTGTTGAAGGAAAAATTAACTCGACAGAAGGTTTTTGACCAGTTAAAAAAAAACAAAATGAAACAGCATGAATTTACTAGACCTCCTGATTTTAAAATGTCCAATTATGGTAGCTCCTTTTCAGCATTTTTCTTATTCATTACTGGGAAACCAATTAATTAATAAATTTCAGCATAGAAATGACATCAGTATTTGATTGAAAACTGGAGATGAAACCAGATCCTAGTCCTTGAATTTATTTATTTAATTTATTATTTAGTAATAACCTCACCTTTAAAAACAACTTGTTTTACTCAAACCGTAAGGGAAAAGAGAATCAGCTCTGCTGACTCGGTAGCACTCACTATGACTTCCCAAAGAGATTTAATCTCCTCAGTTAACATTTAACAACTAAAACATTTATAAATAAAACTATGAAGGAGTTCCCTATTATTAAAAACATGTCAACAATTTATGAAAACATAACTTCATTTTATTACATCATAGCCTCCTTGATACCCTTTGAGCATTTTATCATTCAGGGAAAAAACCCCTAGATTTCTGTTTTCTCTGTTGAATTCAGGATATTTCTGAAACCTAAAGCTTCATATCTGCTTAGCTATTTTCTTGTATTTGCTTGATGCTATAAATGAGGAAAAAATATGGCAATAAAATGGCATTAAATCCTCATTGAAATTCTGGACTACTCAACAGTAATTAGCAGGATGAGTATGCATTCCAAAGACTACACAGAGACGTACCTACCAAGACATGCATTCAGGAGGATAGCTTAAACTACAGGAAAATAAAAGAATTGTGGAGCAGCATTAAGTGGCTGAAGTAAATAATTCCCCACCCACCTCTTGCAGTGAACACGCTAAAACGTCTGTGATCTGTAACAACCACAGAGGTGAGCTAATTGTTCCAGCAGATTTTCTCCAGAGATAATTGGTCTTCTAATAAAACAAAGAAGCGTTTTCTTTTAGCAGCATATGCTAACTTGCTGTTACGTATACAGAACTATATGTCCTGTACAAAATAGGCCTCTGCTAATTTTTAATTAGAGCAATTAAAAAAGGAATATCTGTTCTTACTCCTTTCCTAAAAATTGACAATACTTTCAAACAATACTTCCAGGGCTGAGTTTGCAAGTTTTTATATTTTACTTAGAATTGTATCATTATGCAACATAATTAATTTATTTCCTCATTTGGTCAGGCAGCTGGACTAGACAATCATTGTAAGTCCCTTCCAGCTGAAATGTTCTGTTCTGTTCTGTTCTGTTCTGTTCTGTTCTATTCTATTCTATTCTATTTCTATACTATTCGATTCTATTCTATTTCTGTTCTATCCCATTCCATTCCATTACAATTCTATTCCATTCTGTAATTTTGAGACATGTTCAGTTTTCAGCAATGACCTTTACCAATGCAGAGGTTGCTATAGAAATATCATAAAGCAGCTTTGTATGCTTTTTTTGCTGTTACCACTATCTGGACCAAAGAAAAACAAAAGTTAAGATTATTTTCCATTTTCTAGAAAAAGCAATTCAGAAAAGAATGTTCATTTAGCTATTAAAAAGGCAGGCAAACACTCTGTATGCCACAATTTAACTGATACAGAAAGGTTCATGGCACTGCTTCCTTGCAAGTCACAAATATTAACATTTAAAACATCTGCATCACATGCCTACAAAAACTACATTCATAAAAGAATCTCCTTAATACTGACTGAAATAAGATTTCTTTCTAAGTATGTCCATTATGATGAAATATGAAAACAAATCCAAGCAACAACTAATGAACAAACTTAAATACCTTTTTTTAATTTTTGTCATGAGTTGCACAAAGAAGTTTGTTAAATAGTGAAAACAGTAATCTGAACTACATGGGATAACATGGACACATAAATAAAATACAGATGCTCATAAAAAGTAATGAGGAAAAGAGGAAAAAGTTTGAGAAATTAAATGAGTGAACAACAAACAGCAAAAGAAAGCCAAATACAGCTGACAGGTTTATTTATCTCTTTGAGTAAGAGGAATAAAGTGGTAGTTTTGTGAGATCTGACCTGCACTGCAGACGTATGTTAATATTACTGTCTGTTCAGGCTGTTTGTTCAAAAGCCATCCAAAAATTGGGCAAAGGAGATTTATTGCATTGGGAAGACAGTGATGGGAAGAACAATGGCAACATAGCTTGCTGGTAAAGAACACCACAACCACATCTTCCACAAGTGTTGGGTTGTGTTTTGAACTTACACAAGTGTATAAGCACATTTGTCCTTGCTTATCTGAGAACCAAGTGAAATACAATGACATCGGCTGCTTTGAGTTAGGAGGAGAAGCACTGAGATTCAGTAATTGCTACTTTGAAAGGTCACTTTGAATGAAGTGGTTGAAATAGCTACTGAGAAAAAAATGCTCTGATGAGTATCAGTCATATTTTCACTGTGGTTCTTTTAGAGGGTACTGTCATTAAACTACCATCATTGAACAGCACACAAGGGAACTTCATCACACTGACTGGATTTCCTTCTGAGAGCCTTGCTGACCAAAATGCCTAAATTTCACCTGCAAATCAATACATTGGATAAGTTCCTTGGGGTGAGTTAAGGAGTTAGCAACACTTTTGGAGTGACAGATGAGCAAAAAGACTTAATGAGACAGTTGATGGTTTGTGTTCGGTGCTTGGATAAAGAGACTGGGACTATTAACGCGAGACATTTACCTAGAACCACAGCCACCCCTGCTTAATTGGCCATTATAGAATGAATTAATGAAAGGCATATTTGTATATTACATAAGACAAAAAGGATTTGAGCTGAGATTAGCATTTCTAGAAGAATATTACTTCAGTGTGTTGAAGGCTGAGTTCCACATAACACTCATACCAACTGAGAAGTTACTTACCATTTTTTCTAATTCAGCCTACAATTTTCCCACTTGTAAAGAGCTGGTAAGTTAGATTTCCACCAGTTTCAGCATGCATTTTAATTTTTATGCATTTATTTCAATCTGTGTTGAATGCACATGGAGCTGATGGAAAGCATTAAGAAACAGGAATGCAGTACTCTTCACAGTAACTGATGAGTTCTAAGCAAGATACATTGAGTAGCAAAGGATAAGGCAACAGAAGCCTCACAGTCGCTATGAAAAAAATTTAAAAGCAAGTAATAGTAAAGATAGAACTTTCCCTACCAAAAATTTTATTTAAGTAACAATAACCACCCCCCGACCAACATACAAAATACCCAAACCCAAAGTGATCTTTCTGAATAAATAAAGGGGGACAAAACAGTATTCTTGCATGTGCTGAAGTATCTGCAAACTTCTACAAACAGTGTCCTCACAATCCAGAGAAAAAGCAATGTACAGTTAGTCTTTTGCTGTAACAAAAGTTAAATGTGTGAAATGCCTGGCCTTCCAGAGGTTACATCTGGTATCACTGATGAATGAAAGAATTTCTTTACAGACTGTATTTCACGGGATATGCAGTAAGGTGTTCATCTCCTCTTCCACTGCAGCTCTAGACATTTTATCACTGCCTTTGAAGATGATGATCAACAATTTAAGTTGATGGCAACAGGTGATTATTTTCATAATTTACTAATCAAAATCCAGAATTTTAGATAAGCAGATATGTACAACAAAAGGAAACATGTATTACACTTGGTTTGAAATTTATATAGGTTTACATTTGTGTTAGGCAAATGTGTCAGAAGACATTATATCTCTATAGGTCATCAGGACATTTATTCTCTCAGACCTCACAGAAATTATAAGAAGTCCTTTCCACAAGCAGTGCTACAGGAGGAAAGAATATAAACAATATTCTAC